CTTTCATGGATTGAGCCTTTGGTGTTGTATCTAAAAAGCCATCACCATACCCACGGTCATCTAGGTTTTTTCCTATGATTTCTTCTAGGAGTTTTATAGCCTTGCATTTTACATTTAAGTTTATGATCCCTTTTGAGTTAATTATTGTGAAGGGTGCGAGATTTGTGTCTAGATTAATTTTTTTTGCATACAGATGTCCAGTTGTTCCAGCACCATTTGTTGAGAAAACTATCTTTGCTCTATTGTACTGCCTTTGCTTCTTTATCAAAGAACAGTCAACTATATTTATGGAGGTCTATTTTGGGGCTCTCTATTCTGTTTCATTCATCTATTTGTCTATTTTTTCACCAATACGACATTGTCAAAAATCAATTGATTTTTGACAAGAGTTTCAAGAAATTTGAATGGCAAGAGAATAGTCTTTTCACAAATGGCACTGTGACACCTGCATAGCCACATGCAAAAGTATAACTTTGTACCCATAATTCTCATCATATACAAAAATTAACTCAAAATGTATCAAAGATTTAAATGCAAATACTAACAGTATGAAACTCTTAGAAGGAAACCTAGGTATAAATCTTCATGAGTTTTGATTAGGCAGCAATTTCTTATATATAATACCAAAAGCACAAGCAACAAAGAAAAAAATAGGTTAGTTAGAATTCACTAAATTTAAAAAAAATTTGCATCAAAGGATGCTATCAATAAAGTAAAAAAAATAGCCTAAAAATGAGAGATAACATTTGCAAGTCAGATGTCTAATAAGTGCTAGATATCTAGATTATATAAAGAACACTACCAAGTCAAAACAAAAAGACAAAGAACTTAATTTAAAAAATGGGCAAAGGATTTAAGTAGACATTTCTCCAAAGAAGATATACAAATGGTCAATAAGCACATGAAAAGATGTGAAATATTGTTAATCATAGGGGAATGTAAATCAAACCACAATGAAATACTAGCTCACACCCACTAGGATGAATATAATTTTTTTAAAAATGAAAAATTGTGAATTTGGGTGAGAATATGGAGAAATTGGAACCCTCATATAAGCGTGGTAGAAATGTTAAATGGTGCACTCATTGTGGAAAGCAGTTGGCATTTCCTCAAAAAAAGTTAAAGACAGTGTTATCATAAGAAATTCCACTCCTAGGCATATATCCATGAGAAATGAAAATATACGGTCACACAAAAACTTATACAAGAACTTTCATAGCTACATTATTCATAATAGCCAATAAGTAGACACAATCCAAATATCTATCAGCTGATAAATGGATAAACAAAATGTAGTATACCTATAAATGGAATATTATTCAGTCATAAAAAGAAAGGAAGTACTGATATATGCTACAACATGGATGAACCTTGAAAATCTTGTGCTAAGTGAAAGAAGTCATTCACAAAAGACTGCAAACCATAGATATAGATCTATACCTATCCATCTATCTATATCTATATTTACATTTATATAAAAGACATACACGTATTGTATGATTCCATTTATATGAAATGCCCAGAATAGGCAAATCCATAGAGAAAAGAAGTAGTTTAGTTGTTGCCAGGCATTGATAGATAGGGAATTGGGAAGTAGTGGTTTTTTTGTTTGTTTTTGTTTTTGGAATGGGAGAGATGGTGGAAATGTTCTGCAATTAGATAGTGGTGATGGTTGCACAACATTGTGAATAAATATATACTAAAAAGTACATAATTTTGTGCTTTAAAATGACAAATTTAAATTTGATGAATTTTTTCTCAATTAAAAAACACTGGTTTTCCTATCAAATCTGAGATTTTAAATATTGTTAAATTTCCTTCGTCTCACTTTCATTATAGCTAAAATTTGGAGCTGATGTCTATCCAATAAGATTCTTCTAAGAACTAAGTTCCATAACATGTGGGATGTGGGAGGCTGACTCACAAAGCTTATGTGGAAAATAGTCACGCAGTGAGGTAGAATTCCCATTCACCAATGGATACTAACTTCCACCAGTACACTGAACGTTCCTAGAGGACAGTTACAATATTTGCTTTTGCTTACCACCTTTTTTCTATCATTATACAGGGCTTGATGCATAGTAGGGTTTTTTGTTAATAATATGCTCCATAAAGGTAAAAGAATATCAAAATTCATATGCAGCAAAAAAAAACCCCAAATAGCAAAAGAAATCCTGAGAAAAAAGAACAAAGCTGGAGGCATCACAATCCCTGACTTCAAAATATACTACAAAGCTATAATAATTAAAACAGCATGTTACTGGTACAAAAAACAGATCAGTGGAACAGAATTGAAAGCCCAGAAATAAAACCACACATCTACGGACAGCTAATCTTCAACAAAGAAGCTAAGAATATACAATGGAGAGAGGAAAGTCTCTTCAATAAATGGTGCTGGGAAAACTGGACAGTCACGTGCAAAAGAATGAGAGTAAACCATCTTCTTTCGCCATACATAAAAATTAACTCAAAATGGATCAAAGACTTGAAAATAAGAACTGAAACTATAAAACTGCTGGAAGAAAATATAGGCAGTACACTCTTTGACATTGGTCATAGCAGGATCTTTTTGAATTCCATGTCTACATGGACAAGGGAAACAAAAGAAAAAATAAACAAGTGGGACTTCATCAGACTAAAGATCTTCTGCAAGGCAAATGAAACCAGAATCGAAATGAAAAGACAACCTACCAACTGGGAGAAAGTATTTGCAAAGCATATATCTGTCAAAGAGTTAATCTCCATAATATATAAAGAACTCACCAACTGAACAACAAAAAAACAAACAACCTGATGAAAAAATGGGCAGAGGATATGAACAGATGTTTTTCTAAGGAAGATATACAGATAGCCAACAGGCACATGAAACGATGTTCAACGTCACTAATCATCAGGGAAACGCAAATCAAAACAACACTAAGATATCACCTTACACCTGCTAGAATGGCTATAATGACCAGGACAAAAAGTAACAAATGTTGGAGAGATTATGGAGAAAAGGGAACCCTCATTCATTGCTGGTGGGAATGCAAACTGGGTGCAGCCTTTATGGAAAACAATATGGAGATTCCTCAAAAAATTAAAAATAGAATACCTTATGATGCAGCTATCCCACTACTGGGTATCTATCCAAAGAACCTGAAATCAATAATCCAAAGAGGCTTATGCACCCCTATGTTCATTGCAGCGTTATTCACTATAGCCAAGAAGTGGAAGCAACCCAAGTGTCCCTCGACTGATGATTGGATAAAGATGTGGTATATATACACAATGGAATATGACTCAGCCATAAAAAAGACAAAATCGTCCCATTCGCAACAACATGGACGGACCTGGAGGGTATTATGTTAAGCAAAATAAGTCAGAGAAAGAAAGACAAACACTGCATGATTTCACTCATATGTGGAAGATAAACTAACACACAGACAGAGACAACAGTTTGGTGGTTACCAGGTGGAAGGTGGGTCGGGGGTAGGGACAAGGGGTGAAGGGATGCATTTATATGGTGACTGACAAACAATAATGTACAATTAAAAGTTCACAATGTTATAAACTATTATGACATTAATTAAAAAAAGGGAAAAATTAAAATAAATTTTTTTTTGTTTTTGTGAGGAAAACACCATGAGTCAACATGAGCTTGGCCATGAGCTAACATCCGTTGCCAAACTTCTTGTTTTTGCTGAGGAAGATTGGCCCTGAGTTAAGATCTGTGCCCATCTTCCTCTATTTTGTATATGGGATGCCTCCACAGCATGGCTTGATAAGTGGTGCATAAGTCTGCACCAGGGACCCAAATCTGTGAACCCCGGGCCTCCAAAGCAGAGCGCACGAACTTAACCACTATGCCACTATTGATCCCAAAATAATTTTTAAAAAGTAAAAAGAATACATGTATGAATTTATCAGCATTCACTGAATAATGTTTTTTACACATGTTCTCTATAATAAAAATGGCCATGAGAGAGAATGCATTTTTATAATGTGACTCTAAAAATGTACATTCTAATGAATACTTTTCTTAAGAATTAATACTAAAGGGCCGGCCCTGTGGCTTGGTGGTTAAGTGCGCGCGCTGCGATGCTGGTGGCCCGGGTTCGGATCCCGGGTGCGCATCGAGGCACCACTTCTCCGTCCA